TAACGAGTCAAAACAATTTAATTATCACTAGCCCCCCCCCCTTCCCCCCTTCCCCCTTCCCCCTTCCCCCTTCCCCCTTCCCAATACAGCATATAGCCTTCACAGACACGGAGTGAACTCAATGCGTACACTCGCACTGAAATCGATGCGTACACGCGTAATGAAATCTGTACGGCAGTGATCAAGATACACTGTGGATAGACGTATACCCTATGATAAATATGTGAAAATAAAGACGAGGTGAAACGTTAAGATGTGTACACACGATAGATTTGTACATAAAGCACAAAATCAGTGTGTATACGGAAACACTCAGTGCTGAACTCACATGATACACTCAGTGCTCAACTCCCATGATGCACTCAATGATAAACTCGCATGATAATTCCAGTGCTACTTGTATGATACGCTTAGTGCTACACTCACATGATACATTCAGTGCTAAACTTACATGATTATATTCAGTGCTAAACTTACATGATGCATTCAGTGCTAAACTTAGATGATACATTCACTGCTAAACTTACATGATACAGTCAGTGCCAAACTCACATGATGCATTCAGTGCTAAACTCAAATGATACATTCAGTGCTAATCTCACATGATACATTCAGTGCTAAACTCACATGATACACCCAGTGCTAAACTCACGTGATACATTCAGTGCTAATCTCACATGATAAATTCAGTGCTAAAATCGCATGATACACTTAGTGCTAAACTCACATAATACCTCAAGTGCTTGACTCACATGATACATCCAGTGCTGCTATCACATGATACATCCAGTGCTACTCATATGGTACACCCCGTGCTAACCTCACACGATACATCCAGTGCCACTTATATAAAACATCCCCCAAGGACCCCGCGCAGTCAGTCTGTAGCTAAGTACGGGAGACAAGCACCACACAGCCGTCAGTTCTTCCCCCTGTCTCACTCACTCCCCCCACCCCACCAATCCACCCCCACCCCTCTTCGGTGACGCGGAATCTCCTGAGCTCGCCCTGTAACCATGGCAACTCCGATCATGGCTCCTGAAAAGGTCAATCAAATCGATCTTTCTCTTTAAAGGCGCCACTCGGCGCGCGCGCGCGCGTGTTTGCATCTTGTCCGTCTTGGCCCAGCGTGTGACAGCGGTGGTGGGGACCGGTGGTTGGGGACCGGTGGCGGAGACCTGTCAGCGGGATCAGTTATTGGCAATCAACAACGTGAAACCCTATCCGGTTCTCCACCCATTTCATCCATCCGTTCCTTTATCCATACCTGTGTTTGAGGTGCTGTAGACCAGTTTTGGATAACTGTATTATCTTAGCAGATGTATACAAAATCAAAACTCATATAATTTATATCAATGGCTCCTTACACTCACTCACTCACTCAAACACACACACTGACTCTCACTCCAATGCACACACACACAAAGGCTGCTGACCCCACTGAATCAAAGTTTGTCTATAAATATACAATGATGACTGTTTACAGTGCTGTGACTTGATGACTGTTTACAGTGCTGTGACTTGATGGCTGTTGACAGTGCTGTGACTTGATGACTGTATACAGTGCTGTGACTTGATGACTGTTCAGTGCTGTGACTTGATGGCTGTTTACAGTGCTGTGACTTGATGGCTGTTTACTGTGCTGTGACTTGATGGCTGTTTACAGTGCTGTGACTTGATGGCTGTTTACAGTGCTGTGACTTGATGGCTGTTTACAGTGCTGTGACTTGATGGCTGTTTACAGTGCTGTGACTTGATGGCTGTTTACAGTACTGTGACTTGATGGCTGTTTACAGTGTTGTGACTTGATGGCTGTTTACAGTACTGTGACTTGATGGCTGTTTACAGTGTTGTGACTTGATGGCTGTTTACAGTGCTGTGACTTGATGGCTGTTTACAGGGCTGTGACTTGATGGCTGTTTACAGTGCTGTGACTTGATGGCTGTTCACAGTGCTGTGACTTGATGGCTGTTCACAGTGCTGTCGTTTCATTTCCCTTTGCGTCACAGCTTTCCGTTAATAAATGGATTTATTTATTTATTGTTATTCTTTCCCCCCCCCTCCCGGGGTAAAAAAAGGGGAGGGGTTTCGTGAAGCTCATAAATTCTGTACACACACGCGTACAGGAGGGTGTACAAAAATGTAATGGTGTGATAGGGCGACGGGGTTAAAATATGCCCTGTTTTAGCGTACGTCATCTATGGGCGGCACACTAACCGAAGACAACAGCCGCACCATCCGTCTGAGCACTGACCGAGTGACGGTGATGGAGTGGACCATTGGAACAATGGATGTTGTGATTGTGGAGGTGGAGATTGTGGGGGTTAAAGCGGGGAATATTGGGAGAGTCAGAGAGAGTGAGAGAGAGTGAAAGAGAGAGAGAGAAGAAAATGAGAAAAGACAGAAAAATGAGAGAGGCAGACAGAAAGATAAAAAAGATAGGCATAAGTAATAAGAGAGGCAGAGAGCTGAGAGAGTCAGAGAGCTGAGAGAGTCAGAGAGCTGAGAGAGGCAGAGAGCTGAGAGAGGCAGAGAGCTGAGAGAGTCAGAGAGCTTAGAGAGTCAGAGAGCTGAGAGAGTCAGAGAGCTGAGAGAGGCAGAGAGCTGAGAGAGGCAGGGAGCTGAGAGAGGCAGAGAGCTGAGACTCCGTCTCTCGACTCTCTCTCAGAGAGCTGAGAGAGTCAGAGAGCTGAGAGAGTCAGAGAGCTGAGAGAGGCAGAGAGCTGAGAGAGGCAGGGAGCTGAGAGAGGCAGAGAGCTGAGAGAGTCAGAGAGCTGAGAGAGTCAGAGAGCTGAGAGAGGCAGAGAGCTGAGAGAGGCAGGGAGCTGAGAGAGGCAGAGAGCTGAGAGCGGCAGAGAGATTGAGAGAGCAAATTGAATGGACTAAGGTAACGAGACAGATTGGGCGATATGTCCGATAAGAGAAGATTTTAAGACCTGAAGTGAGTTCTGAGGTTCAGTAATGGGTTGAGAATGGTGTGACAGAGAATAATGGTGAGGTGGTGGCAGAGAATAAAAGTGAGGTGGGGATAGAGAATAATGGTGAGATGGTGAGAGAGAATAATGGTGAGGTGGTGAGAGAGAATAATGGTGAGGTGGTGTGAGAGAATAATGGTGAGGTGATGAGAGAGAATAAAGGTGGTGAGAGAGAATAAAGGTGAGGTGGTGAGAGAGAATAAAGGTGAGGTGCTGACAGAGAATAAAGGTGAGGTGCTGACAGAGAATAATTTGAGGTCGGGACAGAGAATAATGGCGAGGTTGTGACAGAGAATAAAGGTGAGGTGGTGAGAGAGAATATGGTGAGGTGTTGACAGAGAATAAAGGTGAGGTGGTGAGAGAGAATAATGGTGAGGTGATGAGAGAGAATAAAGGTGGTGAGAGAGAATAAAGGTGGTGAGAGAGAATAAAGGTGAGGTGGTGAGAGAGAATAAAGGGGAGTGGTGAGAGAGAATAATGGTGAGGTGGTGAGGCTTTGCGCTGTTACTTGTTGGATCCGATCTGCGAGCGACCTCCCTAATTCAATGACAGCAAAGAACTGCCTCATTCAATGACAGCAAAGTCCTGCCTCATTCAATGACAGCAAAAACCTGCCTCATTCAATGACAGCAAAGACCTGCCTCATTCAATAACAGCAAAGTCCTGTCTCATTCAATGACAGCAAAGACCTGTCTCATTCAATGACAGCAAATGCCTGCCTCATTCAATCACAGCAAATATTCTGTTCCATTTCTTAGTTAAATTTGACATGAAATAAGTGATTCCAGTAGTTCTTTGATTAAATTTCACCTCTCAGGCGATTGATGAGAAACTGAGGGGAGAAACATATTTAAATGCTTTGTTCCCCAGTCTGTACGAATGTACCAGCGTGCAACCCCCTCCCCCCCCCCCACACACACAAAAAGGAGTTTCCAACGCTAAATCATCTCTAATAAGTCATCATTGTCACTAAAGGAGTTCTTTTACAGCTGATTTTCTACGCTAGAAAAATACTTAAGATGTCTTGTTATAATGGTAAAATGTTTTCTTGGCTAAAATTGGTATTTAATTATGTGCTGAAGATGAATATGTGCAATGTAATTATTTTTTTTAATCCATTTTATTGGATCAATAAATAAATCTTATCTGTCAAATCTTAGCTGGTGACTAGTTGAGAATGATAAGAGTAGCACTATTGAAAAGAAAAAAAAAAACTTTTAAAAATTATGAAAAAATAACAGTCCATATCATTGCCATATTGCCCCCTCCCCTGGGTGGCATTTCTTTCTCGATGTTTAGGGGTGGCATTTTCGCAATCTTCAGAGGTTGGTGTTTTTTTTTTTTTCATGGAAGCAGGGTGTCAAAAATCTTTGTCCGCCCCGGGGGCATCTGAATGTGTATGAAGATTGTAATATTTGTCTTAAGTATGAAGTTTGAAAAAAACGTACACAAATCATTTTTAACATTAGATTTTTATTAAGCATGCGCAATAGCACCTAAATATAACACACCCAGACATTTTTCCATACATCCATGCATCATGTGCTTACATTCATAAATCCAGTGCTTACGTCCATGCCTCCAGAGCTTACATACAGAGATCCAGAGCTTACATCCATACATCCAGTGCTTGCATCCATGCATTCAGTGCTTACAATCCTGAGATCCAGTGTGTTCCCCAACATTATTTTTCTATACTGTCACATTCATTGCTTGGCTGTCACGATTATTTCTCAGCTGTCACACCTGTTTCTCAGCTGTCACAACTGTTTCTCAGCTGTCACATGAATGCCACTACTCTAAAACAACTTCTCGACCATCCAGGCACATCAAATGTCACAATCATCAAACCGCTGCACAAAACTAATTTTGAACTGTCACAACCATTTTGGTACTGTCACAACCATTTTGGTACTGTCACAACCATTTTGGTACTGTCACAACCATTTTGGTACTGTCAAAACCATTTTGGTAGTGTTCTAACCATTGTTCAGCTGCACTTAAGTAGTCCTAAGCTGCGCAAAGAGTACACTACACTTGAGTTGTACTAAGCTTGGAACAGAGTACACTGCACTTGAGTTGTACTAAGCTGGGCACAGCGTACACTGCACTGAGTTCAAAACTCCACATAAGGTATCAAATATTTGTAGTATCAACATCAAGACCAAATTTATTTGAGCAAAGCTGGAATCTATTCTTTTCCGAGAAAAATTTGCAGACGGTATTCTAAAAGGTGTACACCCGCGAAAAAAAAAGACTGCTATGATGTCACATTCACGTGACATATGCAAAAACCTAACTCAGCTGTCACAACATAAGAACCATTGTTAAGTTGTCACAGCCTACGATCTGTTTTAGCTGTCACAACCCTGTCGGACTCTCCACGCCTGTCCTTTAACTGTCACAGCCGTCGTCTCTCAGCCGTCACAGGCGTTCAGCGATTGCCATAACCATGCATCAGCTGTCACAGCCATACGTTGGTAGTCACGGGTATCTATCACATGTCATATCTTGCTCAGCCGTCACAACCGTTACCTTAGTTGTGACAAATATTTATCAGATGTCACAGCCACAAGTTACTTGTCACAAGTATTTTTTTTTCAAATCAGAAGTCATAATCCTGCTGAGCTGAAACAACCATTACTCATCTGTCACGACTATGGCACAGCTGTCACAACTATGGCGCAGCTGTCACGACTATGGGGCAGCTGTCACGACAATGGCGCTGCCGTCGCAACTATGGCTCAGCCGTCGTGACTATGGCTCAGCCATCGCGACCATGGCGCTGCTGTCGCGACTATGGCGCTGCTGTCGCGACTATGGCACAGCTGTCACGTCTGTGGCACAGCTGTCGTGACTATGGCGCTGCTGTCGTGACTATGGCGCTGCTGTCGCGACTATGGCGCGGCCGTCTTGTCGCTGCGGTGCCTGTCCTTGCTCGCCTTCGGGGCGAACGGCAGATTTTTGTAGAACGTCAGGTCGCGCGTCCTCCCCGTCAGCGTCTGGTTGTAGAGGAGCTCGTCCAGGCAGTGGAGCGCGGCCGGGTGGTGGGTGATGTAGAACTTGTTGGCGAACAGCTGGCCGCGGTGGATGAACAAGGGGAAGTCTTCCGGAGACAGGATGCAGATTTTATGGACGTAGATTGTGGCGCACTTGAAGTTCGGGTTGGTGACCCACAGGGAGTAGGACGTCAGCCAGGGCTTTTTGTGAGGGTGACCTGAGTAGAGAGGTGGACAAACAGTTGTGTTTGGTTAGCGGGTCTTTGGGCGTAAGGGACACAAATGATCAATATTTCAAATAATAAATCGATTTGGCTCGTAAAGGGAGATAATTGTTTATTAAACATTAGGCGCAAAGGGGGATACATCTTTTATTTGGTATTTTGTGTAAATAAATTGTTGCATGTGAATATTCTTCAAGAGTAATAAATAGTTTATGGCGTATATTTAATAGAAAACTAATAAAGGGTTTGAGTATAAATGATGTTGCGAAAAATAAGGCATTTATTGTGAATATTTTGCATAAGTCCTTAATGGTTTATTGTGTAGATCGTGTAAAGAAATAAATCTTCATTGAAGCTAAAGCTGTATGTCAAGCAGTTGGTCAAATGTCACTTGCCTTTAAATCCCCCAGGTACATTTATTGTCTTGCTGTGTTGTAGAGTTCCCCAGAAATACTCATCCGGGCTCTTGATCAGCTTGCACCACTGCAGGAAATCCTGGGCCACCTTGTCGTGCAGAGCAAACTCGATGAACGCTCGCGCGAATGTCCCGTAGGTGCTGCCCTTGACCATCTCCAGGCCATGGGGTGGGGGGTCGTTGGGCTGATACAGCTTTTTCACTTTCATCTCACCTGGAGAAAAAGTTAAAAGACCAAAAAGATACATTTCTCGCTGGAGAAAAAAGTACAAGATCAAAAAGATACATATCTCACCTGGAGAAAAAGGTACAAGAAAAAAGATACATATCTCACCTGGAGAAAAAGGTACAAGAAAAAAGATACATATCTCACCTGGAGAAAAAGGTACAAGAAAAAAAAGATACATATCTCACCTGGAGAAAAAGGTACAAGAAAAAAAGATACATATCTCACCTGGAGAAAAAGGTACAAGAAAAAAAGATACATATCTCACCTGGAGAAAAAGGTACAAGAAAAAAAAAAAAAAGATACATATCTCACCTGGAGAAAAAGGTACAAGAAAAAAAGATACATATCTCACCTGGAGAAAAAGGTACAAGAAAAAAAGATACATATCTCACCTGGAGAAAAAGGTACAAGAAAAAAAAGATAGCAATCTGACCTGTATAAAAACTTACATGACCAAAAAGATACCTATCTCACCTGGATAAAAAGGTACAGGGTCAAAAAGATACATATCTCACCTGGATAAAAAGTTACATGACCAAAAAGATACCCATCTCACCTGGATAAAAAGGTACAGGATCAAAAAGAAACATATCTCACCTGGAGAAAAGGTGCTAGACCAAAAAAAAATATCTCACCTGGAGAAAAGGTAGCACCGGTGACGTAGGAAGGGGCGCGGAACGCCCCACCGGGTGGGGGGGAGGCCAGTTTTTTTAAATTAATATGAGACGCTGCATTTTCGGGTAATAACTAGGTTTTGTTGGTTTTGTCGTAGATGGGGGCCAGCAAAAATCTCTGCTCGCACCGTGCGGCACTAACCCTAGTTACGCCACTGGGTAGCATTATCTATTTATTCACCGGATTAATCTTGTTCACGATTACACCATATCAGAGACATTGTGTACATATTTATCAACCTGTGTACTGGTTTATGCCAGGACCGTGCAGAGCCAACCGAGTAACCCACTCGGGGCCCTGCCCGCATCGGGGCTCCAAAGAGCGATTTTTTTATTTATTTATTTTTTTGTATACAATTACCATTGATACAATTATTTTGACATCGGGGAAAAGGGGGGGGGGCAAATTTTGATTCGCTCGGGACCCAAAAATCCTCTTCACGTCCCTAGTCTATAATGTATGTACAGGTCTATAAGATATGTATGTGTTAACCTACCCGTTTCTGGGTCTATAACATATGTATGTTTGTACAAATATCTGTCTGCCACAAGCATATCCCCGACAAGGCCTTCGATGTCATTTGCTCCATTGTACAATTTCAATATCCGCACCAGCTCTAGATTGGTTCTGCAACACAACAAAATATGGAATTGTTACAACTATAGATATAGTAACTGTGAAATGATATAACGAACTGAAGTCATTTCTGTTTCTCATTGCCACTATATATGTTTCTCATTGCCACTATATATGTTTCTCATTGCCACAATATAAGTTTCCCATTGCCACTATATGTGTTTCATATTGCAACTATATCTATGGTTCTCATTGCCACTATATATGTTTCTCATTTCTTCTATATATATCGTTCTCATTATCACTATATCTGTAGTTCTCATTGCCACTATATCTATAGTTCTCATTGCCACTATATCTATAGTTCTCATTGCCACTATATCTATAGTTCTCATTGCCACTATATCTATAGTTCTCATTGCCACTATATCTATAGTTCTCATTGCCACTATATCTATAGTTCTCATTGCCACTATATCTATAGTTCTCACAACGATGATACATGATAGCAGTGAATCTCCGAGGTCTAGAAACAGCAAGAGACTAAACAGGGAATCAGTGCATCAAATAATGATAGGAATCTCCACCATGGCAATCTGTACACGTCACATCAAATTACCAAGTGTGCTACACGTTACATCAAATGACCAAATGTGCTACATGTCACATCAAATGACCAAGTGTGCTGCATTTCACATCAAATGACCAAGTGTGCTACATGTCACATCAAATGATGAAGTGTGCTACATGTTACATCAAATGACCAAGTGTGCTACACATCATATCAAATGACCAAGTCTGCTAAGTGTCACATCAAATGACCAAGTGCGCTGCATGTCACATCAAATGAACAAGTGCTACAAGTCACATCAAATGACCAAGTGTGCTACATGTCACATCAAATGATAATGTGTGCTTTTTGTTACATCAAATTATCAAGTGCGCTGCATGTCACTTAAAATTACCAAGTGTGCTGCATGTCACACCAAATGACCAAATGTGCTTCATGCCACATCAAAAGACCAAGAGTGCTACATGTCACATCAAATTACCGAGCGTGCTACACGTCACATCAATTGACCAAGTATGCTACATATGTCTATAATATTCTGCATGTGTCTTTGGTTTGCTTCTTGTTCTTTGACACAACAGCATAACTTATCGTGATCATTTTCAAGTCTGCTAACATTGGCATCCGATTACCGTAAGGGGAACTGCTGCCCCGGCATGTTGATGACGTATTTCCATCTGACCGGATGTTGAAGCAGATCTTCCATGCAGTCAATATCCGCCATCAGCCGGGAGAACCCGGCGTACACGATGTTCTCCAGCTTGCTGGCAACAAACACATTTGGCAGACATCTGACCACAGCCCGGACAGCCTCCAGAAACTCAATGCTGGACTTGGTGTCCACGCTCAGGCAGTAGACGTTGTGTGGACGGTAGATGGCGCGCAGGAGGAACAGGACCTTTGGGAGCAGACGATAAAGAACGTGTTTGTTAAATGAGGGATTCGTATACAATTGTCGTGTTCAGTCAACACGTTTAAGGATACAATTTTCTTGATTAGTCAACACTTTTTTCTTTTACAATTATCGTGTTTAGTTAATAGTTTTTTAGCATACAATGTCTGTGTTTAGTTAATACTTTTTTAGCATACAATGTCTGTGTTTAGTCAACTATGTGTAGGGCACTTACCAGAATAATTTGAACAGGCTTACAAAACTAACAGAGTAATATCCAATAATATGTAGCCAACATGGATGTGGTAGTACGATCATCTGATGTATCAATAACGAATGACACTTATTTTCTCATTGGTTTAAAGGTGAGCCAAATAAAGTGAAATGAGCCTCTAGCTTTATTTCATTTGTGAAATGAGACTCTCCCTTTATTTCATTTGTGAAATGAGACTCTACCGTCCTTTCATTTGTGAAATGAGACTCTACATTTATTTCATTTGTGAAATGAGACTCTACCTTCCTTTCATTTGTGAAATGAGACTCTACCTTTATTTCAATTGTGAAATGAGACTCTACCTTCCTTTCATTTGTGAAATGAGACTCTACCTTTATTTCATTTGTGAAATGAGACTCTACCGTCCTTTCATTTGTGAAATGAGACTCTACCTTCCTTTCATTTGTGAAATGAGACTTTACATACCTTTCATTTGTGAAATGAGACTCTAAGTTAGTTTCGTTTGTTAAAATTCAAACAGAGTCATGAATACATTAACTGTCTTAACACTCACAACGCACTGGCCACACATTTTAATCTTTATTTTATGAGAGCGACTGCTTGAAAAGTGTACCGTCCGACTCACCTGGTCGAGATCCTTATAAAATAAAATGATGAAAGCGATGGGAAAATACTTCTCCTCGTTGGACACTTTGGGGTGTCGGCTGAAGCCGAACCTCTGCCTGAAGGCGTAGCAGTCGGCGCTGGCGGCTCGGTACTCGCTGGGCCTGAGGCGCCTGACCTGCTGGGGGAAGAAGCTGTTGTTGGTCTTGGAGTAGAGCGCCGTCGGACAATCCCGGCCGGCGATCTCCGGGAAACCGATCCATTGCTTCTGAAGAGCGGTGACGTACGTCACGCCCTCGCTCTCAAGTTCCAGCGCCGAAATATTTTGTGACGGGCTCTTGTGGCCCGTGATCGGCTTGAGTTCCGGCGGGTTGGGCGGCATCCACGGACGTGCTTCATTGACGAAGAGCACTTCCGTTTTGAAACCTTGCGTGAAGAAGCTGTCCGTCTGGTCGGGAACTCTGTCCGACGGGAAGAAATCGGCGTCGTCTTCTGTGACTTTGAAGGCCGATTCTTTCGGGAACTGACCACTGCCCGCTGTTCTGGGGTCGCAGGGGGTCTGGTTGTGCACCCATATGTACAGAGAAGCACATATCCATATCAGTAGGACAATGGCCTGACGGAGGCCTGAAAGAAATTGAAGAAATGAACACGTGTAAACATTGTGTAACAAAATGTATTTAGGTAATTAAAGACATATATGTTGGGGTTATCCGTACTTGTCTGGATGTAGTTGTCTGGCCGTTGTGAGACGTGTAGTGGTGTGCAGCAGCCAGTAGCTGTACTTATTCTGTGTGTGAATTGTTCATTTTTCTTTTTCTATTTTTTTTTTTTTTTTATTTTTTTTATTTTTTTTTTTGCAATTTTTTCATCTTCCAACCCTCTAACCCAAAGTCGTTGATCAAGTCTTTCACTTTTGCATCTGGCAACCCTCTAACCCAAAGTCGTTGATCAAGTCTTTCACTTTTGCATCTGGCAACCCTCTAACCCAAAGTCGTTGATCAAGTCTTTCACTTTTGCATCTGGCAACCCTCTAACCCAAAGTCGTTGATCAAGTCTTTCACTTTTGCATCTGGCAACCCTCTAACCCAAAGTCGTTGATCAAGTCTTTCATTTTTGCATCTGGCAACCCTCTAACTCAAAGTCGTTGATCAAGTCTTTCACTTTTGCATCTGGCAACCCTCTAACCCAAAGTCGTTGATCAAGTCTTTCATTTTTGCATCTGGCAACCCTCTAACCCAAAGTCGTTGATCAAGTCTTTAATTTTTGCATCTAGCAACCCTCTGAGCCAAAGGCGTCGATCAAGTCTTTCATCTTTGCATCTGGCAACCCTCTGAGCCAAAGGCGTCGATCAAGTCTTTAATTTTCGCATCTGGCAACCCTCTTAGCCAGTGGTTCTCAACCTTTCTAATGCCGCGATCCTTTAATACAGCTCCCCATGTTGTGCAACCCCCTTCCAGAAAGTTATTTTCGTGGCTACTTCATATCTGTAGATTATATGCGTTTTCCGATGATCTTAGGCGACCCCTGGGAAAGGGTCGTTCGACTCCCAAAGGGGTTGCGACCCACAGGTTGAGAGCAGCTGCCAAAGTCGTTGATCAAGTATTTCCTTTTTGCATTTAGCAACCCTCTAAACTCTAAGCCAGAGGCGTTTATCATGTCCTAGAGAGGCAGTAACAATTGGGTGACCCAGGGTGACCCAGGTACTATTAGCACACAAGCCACCTCCTCCATGTTGTTTATCACATCACACATATTATATGTTCTGTTCTTATGTGTGGTATTTGTTGAATCAAATGAAAAATGTGTTAAGTCTGAAGATTCCTATTTAAGACCATACATTCTATGTTTTACTCACTGATTAAACGTTTCAATGTTTTCATCGAAAATCTCGTCTCGTCTCGTTGTAGACCAATTTAAAGAGACTTTATTTTTTATTCCTAGGACTTCATATCAAAGATATGTATCCGTTCATCAGCGCCTAGATTTTTTTAAAGGTTACATATAAGTTGTTATAACTTTGAATCCATCCATATTGTTTCATCAGCTGGTATTTATAACTATTTTTTAATTATTAATATTCAAGATATCGTTTAAAAAAATAGTATCACTATGGTGATGCATATATCTATATTGTAGTATCACTTTGTAGATTAGAGATTCACACGAATATTTTCACATCACTTTGTAGATATCCATATATTAATTTTAGCATCACTTTGTAGATATCCGCATTTAATGATATGATATTGGGATACATGTTATTATCACTACGTGGATGGCTAAATTTATTCTGAGGGCACTGTCACATTAGTCGTGTCGCCATTTTTCTCGCTTTGATACCGCCGTGTTAATGTGGATCACGGATATTTATCTCGCACATAACATCCACGTTCACGCAGTGAATAGATCTTAGAGCTGTTCAGGTCTATCCGAACACGCATTTCCAATCTTCCTGGGCCTTCCATTCAAAGACTGTTGGCTACACACACACACCCGCCTGCGACCTACCTGGTGGATTGAGACGCCCCACTGACTGCGTGTAAACAACAGTTGCATTGGGACGGTCCCTCCACTTCGAGGGTTATGTATGGCCCGGTGCGCGCACACGGTGAATAGAAACATATGCATTCCATCTCCACGGTCGTAAAACTTAGTCAAGCGACAAGCCAACTAACGGAATGGGACAAAATGATGACCGTGAAGAACTTGAAAGTCACACCTTACCTTTGAATGGACCTACTGACCACACCTGCTCATTTGTGTATTTATAGATTTTTTTTTTTATGTTATTATTTTTTTTTTTAGAATCTCATGAATAAAATGTATGTGTTTAAAGCGTGCTGTCTGTCAGTGAACATACAGCAAGATTGTTTTATTATTGTGTTTGTTGCGTTCATGTTGTACGATTACATACGAATACATTGACAGACACCGTCACAGGCTTGCCTAAAGTTGCCCATTCAAACATTGTTTGGTATACAAGAGGGGGGGGGGGATTCAGCATCCATTTTGAGCGTCTCTTAAGGCCAACAATTTGTTTGTTTCAAACCCCTCATTGAGATAATGGGTGAACTCCTGGCGCGAATCTGTACCTGCAGAAGTCTACTATCTACACCGAGCTTCATCTTAACATGACATAATAACAGCTAGTTTATGAGGACGGTTGTTGACAGATGACATGATAATGGTTGATTTACACCCTTTGATACATGACTTTTAATCTTTTACAACCGGGTTTTGTCAGTTGTCAAAATAAATGAAACTTAAAAAGGATCTTTACTCATTCAACTGGCAGTTGAACTGACAAGTCACGAGGTTATTTAACTATTCAACGGGCAGTTGAACTGACATGTCTTGAGGCTATTTACTCCTACTACGTAATTACTACATTAGTAGCACTCAGGGGCGTACTAGCAATGTTGCTAAGCCCACCATTGCCGTGTGCTCCACATAAGGGGGACCGCTAAATCGGCGGGCCGGACGAATAATGCTGCGCTTTATTTGTTTTTAGCTTATTAGATGCCAAGCAGTAGTGATAGTTCAGCTGTGGCGATAGTTCAGCTGTAGTGATAGTTCAGCGGTGGCGATAATTCAGCGGTGGCGACAGTTCAGCTGTGGCGACAGTTCAGCTGTGGGGACAGCTCAGCTGTGGCGATAGTTCAGCTGTGGCGATAGTTCTGCTGTGGCGATAGTTCAGCTGTGGCGATAGTTCAGCTGTGGCGATAGTTCAGCTGTGGTGATAGTTCAGCTGTGGCGATAGTTCAGTTAGTGATAGTTCAGCGGTGGCGATAATTCAGCGGTGGCGACAGTTCAGCTGTGGCGATAGTTCAGCTGTGGGGATAGCTCAGCTGTGGCGATAGTTCAGCTGTGGCGATAGTTCTGCTGTGGCGATAGTTCAGCTGTGGCGATAGTTCAGCTGTGGCGATAGTTCAGCTGTGGAGATAGTTCAGCTGTGGCGATAGTTCAGCGGTGGCGATAGTTCAGCGGTGGCGACAGTTCAGCCGTGGTGATAGTTCAGCTGTGGTGATAGTTCAGATGTGGCGAGAGTTTTGCTGTGGTGATAGTCAAGCTGTAGTGACAGTTCAGCTCTGGCGATAGTTCAGCTATAGTGAATAATCTCAAATGGTCCACTCTTATCTGCCACCTTGTGCAGCCTTACATGCGGTAAATCTTAATCATATATTTAAAAAAAGGGGGTTTCTCAAGCTTGATACGGGCGAAATTTTTAGTTCTTTACCATGGGCGCCGTATGTCTTTTTTACCCCCTGTTACCATGTTTACCGTGGCCGTCATATGTCTTTTGTACCCCCCTCGTACCACTAACACAATCAGGTTTGTTTACTTACTACAGCGGTGGCCCAGACTCAAACTTGTTTTGTTGACGGCGACCTGCATCTTCCATGTAAACATCATTTGTTTCTGTCTTAACAATACTTTTTGCCCACGGACACTCAACGTCCACCTGGCCAGTTTTAATTAGGTCAAAAGCATTTTTATTGTGGTCAGTTTTGCCTTAGTCCCAATACCTTTGAAGTTTCATTATTTAAATTTATTCTTTTTTTTTTTACCTTTGAATTTCATCGCAATCCAGACAGCAATGATTTCCTTCAAGTGTAGAGAGTTCTCTTCACAACAAACCTAACAGTACTTCACAGAATTGTTGTTGTTTTTTTTAATCCACATCTTTTATTAACGATGAAAACATATGTAAGCGCTATCTTAATGTTTTCAGAAAGTCAAATTTGCTATCCATGTTACACTCAAGAACTTTCTGTTTTCCATGGTTTAAAAAAAAAAATAATTGCCGATGTACCGAAAGTTCTTTTTAGACTGACAGAAGTCATTTCAGAAGGCACACCTTCCCAATTCAACAAAAAAAGCCACCCATTTCGAGAGCCACGCCCCAAGATTCAATGTACAGATGTACGTGTACTGTGTACGGTAATGTTTGCGGAATGAATGCCACGCCTAACGTATCGATGCGCAATCATTGATCGAGAACTTAAAGAAATGGAAATGTGTGCGTGTGTGATCGTCGCTTCTTGTACACACCGAGCGTTGGCCTTGAAGTAACTCGGTTGGTAGGCAGGGGTGGTGGACAGAGGTAGGCAGTGGTGGACAGAGGTAGGCAGTGGTGAACAGAGGTAGGCAGTGGTGGACAGAGGTAGGCAGTGGTGGACAGAGGTAGGCAGTGGTGGGCAGAGGTAGGCAGTGGTGGGCAGAGGTAGGCAGTGGTGGGCAGAGGTAGGCAGTGGTGGGCAGAGGTAGGCAGTGGTGGGCAGGGGTAGGCAGTGGTGGGCAGGGGTAGGAAGTGGTGGGCAGGGGTAGGAAGTGGTGGTGGGTGGGAGGAGGTAGGCAGTGGTGGATAGAGGTAGGCAGTGGTGGGTAGAGGTAGGCAGTGGTGGACAGAGGTAGGCAGTGGTGGGCAGAGGTAGGCAGTGGTGGACAGAGGTAGGCAGTGGTGGACAGAGGTAGGCAGTGGTGGGAAGTGGTGGGAAGTGATGGGCAGTGGTAGGAAGTGGTGGGAAGTGGTGGGAAGTGATGGGCAGTGGTAGGAAGTGGTGGGAAGTAGTAGGCAGTGGTAGGCAGGGGCGGGAAGTGGTAGGCAGGGATATGAGGAGACGGATGACTGGGGAATAGTAAAAAGGTCGAAAATAGCGGGAAATAATATAAGCAACATTAATATAATATTTCTCCTTCTTTATAATATATGGTATAACAGTATATTGCTTTGTATATTTCAGAGTTTAATGTTATATCAGTTTAAAGCTGAGATATTTTCTTGAAGTTTCTTTCTTTTAGTGTCGTGTCCATGCCGTAAGAACGGTTGGGGCGCTGAAAGGCGAGGCCCATATCACAGGCGGATTCTCTGGTGGGCGCACCAGTAATGGAGGAACGTAGAGGTCTGAAACATACGGCACGCGTGTCAGGCGTGGAAAACACGGGGATTTTTAATGGCACGCGAAGGGCCAAAAATTAATGAGTACATATCGTATACAATTTTGTAGAGACTTGTGGGTCACTGGCAAGCTGAATCAGTTAGAAAGCCTTTACTTTGAAACAAAGTTACCACACAACAACAAAAACAAACGCATGATGTTCGTGATGTTGATGAGGTTCATGATGTTCGTGATGTTCATGATGTTCATGATGTTCATGATGTTCGTGATGATGTTCGTGATGTTCGTGATGTAAATGATGTTCGTGATGTTCATGATGTTCGTGATGTTCGTGATGTTCGTGATGTTCGTGATGTTCGTGATGTTCATGATGTTCGTGATGATCATGATGTTCATGATGTTCGTGATGTTCGTGATGTTAATGATGTACGTGATGTTAATGATGTTCGTGATGGTAATGATGTTCGTGATGTTCGTGATGTTAATGATGTTCGTGATGTTAATGATGTTAATGATGTTCGTGATGTTCGTAATGTTAATGATGTTCGTGATGTTAATGATGTTCGTGATGTTCGTGATGTTCATGATGTTCGTGATGTTAATGATGTTCGTGATGTTCATGATGTTCATGATGTTCATGATGTTCGTGATGTTCGTGATGTTCGTGATGTTCGTGATGTTCGTGATGTTAATGATGTTCATGATGTTCGTGATGTTAATGATGTTCGTGATGTTCATGATGTTCGTGATGTTAATGATGGCCGTGATGTTCGTGATGTTAATGATGTTCATGATCTTCGTGATGTTCATGGTGTTCATGATGTTCGTGATGTTAAAAGTAAAGTTACATCAAAGAGATCACAAGCAGACAAGGCACGGTTAATTTTTATTTATTTATAATTTTTTTTTCGAATCTAAGAACAGCTTTTAGTACTCAAATGACAGCTATTGAAAATATAAGAATTGTTCTCATTATTTTTTTTTTCATTAAAACATCATTTAACATCTTTCGAACATGCTCTTTCCATCGCAGTATAGATCTAGTTCTTTAAATTCTGGTGAGGGTCTGAGATTACCCTCTTATGACCCCGACTATAGTACATTGGCAACCAGCTCCATCTGCTAAGCTGAGCCATACAATATTTTCCTCACGTAGGGCTCTCCAAGCGCCCTGGCTTCCCTCCCTCCCCCCCCCCCGGACAGCTAGTGAGAGTCATTCGGTCGATGAGAAGAAGACTAAACTATTCGAATCGTTTACAAAACGTGCAGGTANAGCCATACAATATTTTCCTCCCGTCGGGCCCCCCAAGCGCCCTGGCTTCCCCCCCCCCCCCCCCCCCCGGACAGCTAGTGAGAGTCATTCGGTCGATGAGAAGAAGACTAAACTATTCGAATCGTTTACAAAACGTGCAGGTACTTACGCCATTGTTTACACAGCTTCCATGCCAACGGAACTCTCTCGACTTGGAGATATTTCTGCGAAGTTTCGCCACGAGCCGTGAAGCGTAATGGCATAGGATCAGGCTGTCCTCTGCTGGATGTGACGTCATAAAACTACACACGTGATCACTTTCTTGTGTGGTTGATGTGACGTCATAAGGCTGTAACGTTAGGGCGCAGGACGTGCAACTATCACTTTGAGATCAGCAGTTGCCTGGCTGTGCTGTAAGCCAACACATTGGAAGTGCATGTTCTTAAAATAAGTTGTTGATTAATTTTTTTTTTAAATCACTTTTCTCTTTTGAACAGTTTGGAAAATAATCAATAAATATAACCAATCGTTCGTAGATAAGTTATGTTGACATAGATATCACTGCAGAAACTGAAACATTTACTGCATGGATAGAAATGTGACATGTCACTATTGTAACAATGGTTGTCACTGGAAATAAATTAATGATTGGAATGGAGTGATATGTTTCTTCTACCTTCAGTCGCGTGATGGAATCCTGTCCTGATAAACATTTCCCTAAGCCGGTGTATTGAGTCCCTGGTGTCTAGCTCTAAGATACACTCCCTTTGGTTTGGCTTTGGTACACAGTCCGGTGTTGTCTGAGTCTGAATGCAATGGAAATTTATCCGCCAGTGCAAGTATGCCAGAAAGTCACCGGCCTTCAGATCGCTGTGTGTACTTCCTAGTGAGTCTAGTCGAAAGTTTCTCACCATTTTGAATACCGTAATATTTAATCGATGCTGTAGGTCAAAGGACAGGTATATTTCCCACTGTAAGACAATAAATATAGCAGATACTATGCAAAATATCCCGTTGTTAAAAGACAGTTGATACTTGTCAAATAATTACAAAAGTTATAGCATTACGGTGCCCGATCACGTGAAAAATTATACGTTGCCTACTTTACCGTCGTGGTACAGCGTAGTATGACATTTGAGAGTCACCGCTACAAAGAAGGGGAGGTAACCAGACACAGGGTGTGCCCGAATCTATGATTTTCTGACTCTACGTTCGGTGACCTACTTACTACGCCCAATCTCACCACCCCTACGCCAGTAGACGACGTTCATTTCTCTGATACTGTGTTGACTCCCGACAGAGGTCACGAACGGGGTTTCTTTCAGCTACAGCTCCCGGCGGGGGGGG